ATTATATTAGAAATCTGTCTCTGTGAAATCTGATAACAAGCTGAGAGGAATTTTGTGCTGGTGATTATTATAATGTACTAAAGTTTAAATTAGAGATCAGCCCTTTATTTTGTAGCTGAAAGGCAAGAAAAGGATAGCATGGGGCTCTTTCATGCATTGCCCACTGTTTGAGTGAGATCTGAATTGTTTGATAATAACATTAGATTATTAGTGATCTGAGAGGCGTCAATGTACAATTGCTCCATCATAAATGCTTAGACTAGTCAACATGAGTCCTTAATTACTTCCTGGAATCTGCTGGGATACAGTATGGTATTACTTCTGGGCTTGACTAAATTAATAACTGACAGTGATGGAGGATTTTGTATTATCTGTCATAGATCATTTATTTTAATAGCCTCATAATGGAAAATCAGTTTAAAATAAAAGTTTCTAAATCAGAAAACAGTCTTTTTCTCCCCCACAAGAAGCCATCATATCCACATTTATAATATTTATATATAAAATTTGCTATTTTTATAGTGGTTTTTTTTACTTTTTATGATGTTTCACTAATTGAACAAATGATAACCTGGATTAAGTAGTGTCTTAAAATAATTGTACAGAGGAATTTGTGTTCATTATTAGAGCATAGAAGAGAAATTAAAGCACAGAGTAGAAAGCATTTTGTTTGAAATTTGGCCACTGTCCATTCCTGCCAAATAGACAAATATTAAAGAATGGTAATAATGTTTCCACTTTAAATAGGCTTTTGTGTTATAAAAATGAAATGTTCATGGATAAATTGGCCTCTTTCAATGGAAATTGTTTAAATAGATATCTAAATTCAGGGTTAATTAAATAGATATTTAATTCAGAGTGTCATTTAATATTTTTTTAATAGCGTGTTCAAAGATTAAACACACATACACACACAGACATGGTTTATTGCCTTTAGTGTTGTTAACCACTCAGAGTCACCTCACAGCGAGATGGGCAGCAAACAAATTTAATAAATAAAATAAAAATAAATTATGCTGGCAGAGTACTTCTGCCACTAAGCTGGCTGTCATCGTTTGCATGAGCTGTACAATTGCTCAACTGAATGGTGATGAAGTGTGAATTAAGAACATAGAACATAGAATAATAGGGTTGGAAAGAAGACCTTAGAGATCTTCTAGTCCAATTCTCTGCTCAAGCAGGAGCTCTATACCATTTTGGACAAATAGCTGTCAAGTCTCTTCTTGAAAACCTCCAGTGATTGAGTACCCACAACTTCTGGAGACAAGCTGCTCCATTGGATTTTTCTCACTGTCAGGGCATTTCTCCTTAATTCTAGGTTAGATCTCTCTTTAATAATCTTCCACTCATTGCTCCTTGTCCTGCCCTTAGGTGGTTTGGAGAAAAGGTTGACCTTCTCTGTGACAGCCACTCAAATATTGGTCAAACATTGCTCCCAGTAGAGTTGTAACTAGTGCACCAGCCAAAGGTACATGATACCTCCTTTGACCATAGTTTCTACATGATGTTGTACCGTAGTAGGAGCCAATAATATGAGAGGATGCTGACTAATTCCTTCAGGGGCAGCAAGAGCCCACTGTGAGCAACTAACAGGAATGATGTCATTGCATCATTGCATTGCCCTGTTGCTTATGAATGGAAATATCTCCAGACTGGTAAGATTTACTCTGGGCTTGTTGCACTTCACTTCAGCCAGTCTTCACAGCCTCCAGATATCACTTCAGGACTTCTATAGCATCTTCAGCCCAGCCCAGGGTGGCAATATGTAACTGAGTACAGATAGTCCTTGACTTACAACAGTTCATTGTGACTGTTCAGAGTTAGAATAGCATTGAAAAAAGTTTTTCACATTTAAGACTGGTGCAGCATCCACATGGTCACGTGATCAAAATTCAGACACTTGCCAACTGGTTCATATTTATGACGATTGCAGGGTCCTGAGTTATGTGTTCAACTTTTGCAATTTTCTGACAAGCAAAGTTAATGGGAAAGCCAGATTCACTTAATAACAGGGTTACTAACTTAACAATTTCAGTGATTCACTTAACAATTGTGGCAAGAAAGGTTGTAAAAAGGGGCAAAACTCCCTTAACAAATGTTTCACTTAGCAACATACATTTTGGGCTCAATTGTGGTCATAACCCGAGGACTACCTGTATCAGCATTCTGGTTATACCTTACCTTGAACTGATGGATGATCTTCCTCAGTGGTTTACATGGGAAAAAGCGTCGAGTCCTGAGAATCCTATGTTGGAAGAAAGCTGTCAAGTGCATACAGGTCAGGGGAGGGATTCATCAATAGACAGGACAGTATTGTCATCAGAAATTTCAAATTTTCCATTAAAAGAAAATTAGCAATGCAGTTTTTTAAAAGTTGAATATAATTGTACAGAATAACTTAATGTCTTTATCAGGGTTAGTGTTACACATTGACCAAACCCCACAGCTCTGTGGGGTGGGGGATTCCTGCCTCTCTTTGAAGACGCCCCTTATTGTTTTTGCCTGTCCCAAGGGAACAAGCAAGAAATGGTAATAATGGCACCCATTGAAAGGTACATGTCCAGAAGGAAGACTGAGCACAAAACAGATTGGGGAACTTTGAGGTTAAGATTGAAGTAATCTTATCCACAGCTTCCTTAACACTTTGAACTTTGTTTGTGTCTTATGAGAACTTATTTTACAACATGGTCTTTAGCTTGGTGGCTTGTTTCATTTATGTGTTAGTTTAGGGCAGTGGTTGGTCTGACCACCTTAGTTAAGCTTCATTTCAATATTCAAGAAATCTTCAACATCCTGAATTCTAAAGCAGCTGGAGCCTGATATATGTGTGATATATATATGTGCTCAGGGAGAAGGACTGTCCCTCTGTTTATTTAGAGACACACCCTTCTTTCACATCATGTCAAAGCACTGTAATATTTCTCTTTGAAGGTATCTCTCTCAAAGGATACTTGCCTTGGGGCAAAAAAGCAGTCACTGTAAAAACTAAAAAAAAAAACCCACCATCTGTTCTTACACTTCAGTTAAAGAACTGGAGTGCGAGAAATATATATAACTAATCAACACTAAAAACCAGCAGCACTAGATATTTTACTTTGAACCATGAACTTGTTAGTTAATTACTGTGTACCATAATTTGAATGACTAATGCTGATTTCATTTATTTCCCATGAAATTCTTTTCATCCAATTGATTTTTTTTTGTTTTTGTCTACAAATTCTGTATATAACAAGAATGATGTAGTATTGTTTCTTGAATGGCCCTATGTTACATGGCACACTGTAATTCCACCAGAATTATTAGAACTGGTTATTGTGACCCCTGCATACAATAGTCTGCATATTTATTTTTAAGATTCTATTCCTTGTTTTCTTATTTATTATTTGGCTTGCTCAAGTGCCTATAACTAAAGGCTTTCAGCTAACTGAAGTGAGGATGCTTTTCTGCTGTTGTATACCAGGGTAGTACAAACCTTGAAAGATTGAAGCAAAGCAGTCTCTCACCAAAAGCTTCCAGACAGTATGAAGTAGTTTATCAAAGGAAATTGCCTTGAATCTTTGTGTTGATAAAGAGAATAATACTGCCTAGGTGAAGTGAAATTAATTTGCTTTTACATTTTTCATAAGTTCATCTCTTTGAGTTGGCTTCCCTTTATTAGAGAAGACTATTTTTTTAGTATTAGTGCCAGAAAAAGAAAGTTACAAATTCTCTGCTTGATTTTGTTTTGTGTACCAGGAACTATACTGTGAGTCCTGTAGGCTAGATTGGGAAATCAAAAAAATCTGCTGAAAAAATGCAATGGGAAACCATTTCTGTATTCTTTCCAAGAATACTACATGGATGTATCTATGAAGTCATCAGGAGCTGAACTTGCTCAAAAGAAATGTTATCTTTTTGTATCAGTCATTCATACAAGCCTATTTTGTGTTCTTAACTTTCAGAAAAGTAAATACAGTAACTTACAGTAAGTAGATGATTGCTAATTGTGTTACCCAGTGCTCCAGAGTTACATGTTAGGAAACCATGATTGGATTGTTTTCATATAAAGCCCTTCATTCCTGTTACTTATTTTGCAAATTGCTGATTATTCCTGTAAAATACAGATAATGAGATAAGAAAGGATTGTGAACAACATGAATTCTACTTCACTCTCCACAATTAATTATAATACAGATTGATTTATATTCACTGTTACTTTTTTCTTTGCCCTCATGAGGTTCTGAAATAATTTACAAATTATGACACATAGAAACCATTACAAGCATTTTGCTTCTAATTGGTTGAAGCTGAGATTTTCCTAGCCAATCTCTACAATAAATTACTTACTAACCTTATTGAATATTGTTCTTTTATCATGATAAATTATTCCATAGGGTTGCAGTAAGAATAAAATGGGATATCCATTTCTGCCTTTGTGTGCTCCTTGAAATAAAAGTCAGATAAAAACATAAAAGTCCTTGAAATCCAGAGTGTGGAAAATTAAGAGACAGTTCAGCCATATCTGAATAGAGCTAGCAGATCTGGACACTGCAGTAATGTAGTGTCCAGATTTAATGGTGGCCTTGATTTTGAATCTCAGATTTGGTACACCTAATTTTAAGTGATCACTTGTTTTACAGCCCAAGTGTAGTTTCCAAATTTTGATTTAATTATCTATAATTAATCATTGATATTGAACTTCTTTGAGAAAGGCTTTGTTTTGCTTACATTTCTTCTGCTCTTTTTCATGTTGGAAGAAGTTCTTCCAAATGTAAACACAGATACAGACCAAATGTTTCAGCAGAATGTATTATTGATGAATGGATTTATGGATTTATGCAGCTAGATTTGGATTACCAAGCAAACTTGATATTCTGCTCTTTAAATAATATCATGAATGAATACGCCTGAGTTTTTGCAAATGAAATTTTATTAAATAAAAAAAAAGTTTTATTCAGAATATCAAAGCTACTGGTACCCCACTGGTAAGCTAAATCATGTATTTCACATTTTCTGTCTAGGGAGCGTACGGAACTATTGGAGGAAGCAAAGAAAATGGAAATGGCAAAGTTTCGTTACATTCTTCCAGTTTATGGCATTTGTAAAGAGCCTGTAGGGTTGGTCATGGAATACATGGAAACAGGATCTTTGGAGAAGCTCTTGGCCTCTGAACCACTACCCTGGGAACTACGTTTTCGAATCATCCATGAAACAGCTGTGGGCATGAACTTCCTTCATTGCATGTCCCCACCTTTACTTCATCTGGATCTTAAGCCAGCCAACATCCTGCTTGATGCTCACTATCATGTTAAGGTAGGTCACAGTCTTTCAGAATGGGATTTTTTACCAATTGGTTCAGGACGAAAGAAAAGATTCACTTAACATAAATTTGCAACTGTCATGCAAGACTTGTTGTAAGCTTAGTAGCAAACTTAAAGAAAGTGATGAATAGGCTAAGAACACCTACAGTTATCTTACAAATTAATTGAAAAAAATCAGAATGAAAAAAGAGAATGTCATTTACCTTGCTCATGAAAGCATTTATCCCAAAGGAAATGTATATTCACTTACCACTCCTTTTTTAAAAATGTATTTATTGTATTTATTGATCAAATTTATACAGTATAAATCTCACTGTATGTGACTCTGAGCAGCTGACAAGTAAAAGATAATAAAAATCCTTACAAAATGTACAAATTTTAAAAAAACTGAGAGAGCATTGTCAAATCACCAACCATTCCCAGGATTGTGTACTACTGATTGAATCCCCATGCTAGTTTGATACTAAGGCAGCTCTTAGTGTTCTTCTGGAAGGCCAAAAAAGTGGGGGCCAACCTTACCTTCAAGGGCCAGATGTTTCATAGGACATTGAGATGGTTCCTCAAGTAATCTGGCCCCATGCCATGAAGGGCTTTAAATGTCATAACCAACACCTTAAATTGGACTTGGAAGCAAACCAGCACTCGAAGTAGTTCACCCAGCAGAGGTATTACATGTACAGTCCTAGTGGTGCCCATAACTGCGCATGTCACCAAATCTGCACCAACTGTGGCTTCTGGAAACTTTTCAAGAGTAGCCCCATGTAGAACATCTTGCAGTAATCCATGTAGACGATGACCAGGGCATGAGTGATTAAGAGAAAGGTTTCCTGGTCCAAGAAAGGATGCAGTTGACCCACAACATGGAGTTGTGAGTCCAGGAGGATCCTCAGATTGTGGTCTAGGTCCAGGTGGGTCAGTGCAACCCCATCCAGGACCAAAAAAGCTAAAGCCCTACATAGAAAAGAGTCCCACACCCACAGCAACTCAAGACTTCCATCGATGCCTATTGTTCCCCATCCAGACCCTCCAGACCTTAGCATTTTTTTTGAATATTCATAAATTATATTATTATATTATATTCATAAATTATATTATTAAATTATATTCATCACATGTGCATTTTGTCTGGCTCTGCCTGGGCTTCTGAAAACTCTAATTTCAAAATGGAATACAAATGCAAGTAAAAAATCAGAAGTATGCATTTACAAGAATGTAATAAAGTTGAAAGAGAAAAGGAAGCAGATGGATCCAAGTCTATGCCCTATCTCTCATTTGCATAGTTACATCTGACAACTAAATAAACAGAAGTCATAGCAACAGGGCTTAATTTTTAATCAAAGTTTATTATTTGCCAAACAATACTTCCTGCATTGTAATCCTATATAAAGGAACACTAAGATGTAGCTGGTATTTCCCAACAGCAATCTAGCTGATGATGTCTAGAATTGTTAACAACTTCCTCTTTAATTAAGTTTGTAAGTCTGCTGCATCCATTACAACCAGTATCTTTTTTCAGTCAGTTTATCTCCTACCATTGTTATGAACGGTCAATTCTAGGCACAAAAGTTGAATTGCTAAAGTACATTACGTAAATTACTTTGAAATGATTTTTTAAGGCAGGCTCTGGAATTTGGGTTCTAAATAGATATTCAGATTTCTTTTTCTTGCAGCAATCCAATACGTGGATAGGCACAGTTTCCATAATTGTTCACAGTCATATTTGCTATATGTATGTCATAAGAGGTGTAGTGCTGCTGTTACTGGACTACTTCCTATGATTGGATATGTATCCCCAACACATTGAGAGAAAGGGCTGACTTGGGAAGGATCAGTTAATGCATGGTTGAAGTCCATTTCCCATCATCTCTATCTGAGTGACAGAGATGATGAGAGAAACTGGGATTTGTAGTTCAGTAACATCTGGAGGGGATATATTGTCCATCATGAGCTTGTAGAAAGCTGACTCAGGCTTTTTTATGATAACTTAGCTAAATAAATTAAGAAAGAATCTTAAAAGTTATTTTCAGAAGGTTTAGTGGTGACAGAGATGCTCTCGTTCTGATATAGTTTTATGTGATTTTTTTACAATGGTTTTCTTCCATTGTATATGAATAATATACCTAGTAGATTATCTAAGTTGCATCATCATATTTCTTCCATTAATCTTTTGTTCTCAAGCAGGCTATCATTTTGAAAGAATTGTGCTATTGAGTAAAATTTGGAAATCTCATATTTCGTGTTGAATGCAAAATATTGAATCACTGCTTTTGACCCTATCCAATTGTAGCCTAATTAAAAATTGCCTGTGTATGTGTGTGAGAGAGATTCCCCTTGATTTTAACAGGGAATATATGAGCAAACATTACATATGCTGTTAAAAAAAAATCTTTAAGGCACCCAGTTTTAAAACTGCAGAACTCTTAGAACAGAGATGGGGAACTATGGCCCTTTTATGACTTGTGGACTTCAACTCAGGAATTCTGGGAGTTGAAGTACACAAGTCATAAAAGGGCCATCGTTTCCCACCTCTGTCTTAGAACATTGCTCTTTTTGTTAATGTGAGGGAACGTTTTACAAAACACTAAATACTCCATGTGCTTCATTTGTCAGTGAATCTAGATATATAAGGATACCCAACTATAGCTTGGGATGTGATTTAAGATCCTACGTTACAAGCTTGTGCTTTAAAATAGAGATTCATACTGTGGACTCAGAAATGCTCAGTGATTCTTAATGACTTTGTCAACAGGCCTCACAAAATATATGAATCATTATAACTGGTTGGTATGCATTCTGTTCTGATAGGAATGAAATTTCATGACTAGCAAAAGCAGGAAAAAAAGAAAATAATTTTAAATCATTTTTTTTCTTTCACCAACCAGAAGCACAATGTAATTTAAATATCCCTGATTTTTTTTCTATTTTTTCCTCATAGTTTTTTAAATAATCTAAACTTTTTACAAAAACAGTGAAGTTAGATTATATCTTTCTTTCTTCTTTACCTCCTTTCTGCTCCCACCACTTTTGCTACTTCCTTGTTGTTAATTTATAATTAAATGTGATTTAGTTCCCCAACCCATTTACTCTGTAAACAGCACCTAATCATTAGCTAATATTGGCACTTCACCATCTGGCTAACTTTTAAAAATCCATGTGTAGGTGATTTGCAATAGTGTATACATAATATTGTCTATCTGAACTTTGGGATGATGAATTACAAGTCAAAATAAATAGTCTTTAATCAGCAATTGTCAAAACATTCTGTTTTTTAATTCTCTCACTCTTTATCGCCTTCAGATTGCAGTCCATACATATACAGGTAGTACTTGACCTACAGCCACAATTAAGCCCAAAATTATATTGTTAAGTGAAACAATTGTGAAGTGAATTTTGCTCCATTTTATGACCTTTCTTGCCACAGTTGTTAAGTGAATCACTGCAGTTGTTAAGTTAGTAAAACGGTTGCTAAGTGAATCTGGCTTCCCCATTGAGTTTGCTTGTCAGAAGGGCACAAAAGGTGATCATATGACCCTGGTACACTGCATCCATCATAAATGTGAGTCAGTGGCCAAGCCTCATAAATTTAGATCATGTGATCATGGGGATGCTATAAAGGTCATAAGTGTGAAAAATGATTATGTCACTTTTATCAGTGCCATTATAACTTTGAATGATCACAAAATGAACTGCTGTTAAGTCGAAGACGACCTGTACTATATATGAAATCAGTTGAATTTAATTTGACAGGATTTCTGAATGGACATGTTTTCCTGATATGGCTTCTATTGCATATTATTTTATCCTAAATATTTATCTTTATAGTTGATTCTTATAAGAAGGGGTTTATTTCTTTATATACTCAGGAAGTGGAAAGCTTCTGTATAGTATTGTACAAGATATCATTAATTGATTTGCTGGCATTATATTCTTAGAATGCTTTAGTAAACAAATTCTTAGAATATAGAGAATGTAAAGGGCAATACTTCTGCACAATGGCTACAGAAGCATGGACAATTCACAGCAATTATTTTGAAACTGCTAAATTGTTTCTTTTTCACTCTTTAAAAATCCTCTGTATTGGGAATAAATCAAGTACAAATTTGGAGAAGTATTGCTCATATTTTACCAAATAATTCCCTGACACTGGGCTGGCTATAGAGGAGTGGGAACTTCTTTTTTCCTTACAATAAAACTTTTTGTTTATTCTCTGGACCAACATATTCGTTGCCATTTAGGCAAAACTTATCCTTCTGAGTTGATTTTTCTTCATCAAACCATTCACTCAGCCTGTTAAAATCTGTCATGTATTTTGAAATGCTTGTTGCTTGGAGGGAAAAGCAGCATTAATTTTAGAGGAAGAGTGCACTTGGGAATCAAACTAGAGTAAAGCATTCAAGACCAAATAATCTCAGCATTTCATTTTTCCTTTCAAAAAAACTGAAGGTTTTAAAAAAAAATTGGCTGGACTTGTACTTGACAAGATGTGCTTGTTGTGATAAAGGGGGGGGGAGAGCATTTTTAGCATCACAAGGACAAATTGTATAATGGTCTGAGTCTCTTTGGATTAAAATTTAATTTGTCAGCTACTTGAAAAGCTACACAGAATAACAGATATGTACAATATACACATGGAACAAACTGGAAGTGTGGAAAATGAAATGCAGAAGGCAATGATAGGTGCCTTTCATTGTACTTTGAAATTGCAAATGTGCATGCTTGCGTTGATGAGCTCATTAATTCATGTAACCTTACATAATAAAATGCACACACAACCTTTGTCCCTGTTTGAGAAATTATAGCTCACTTGAAATTTCTGTTTGGGGTTCCTTTACTTAAGAATAGCAGCAGTCCAGAAGTTTTAGTGTTCCTCACTTGAGGGAGGGATATTTTCATTTTTAATGGGAGATTAGTATCTTTGCCTTTTTGTCTTAGGTGGAAGGCAAAAACGCATTGATGATAAACAACTGGGCATAGTGTGTTTTTAGACATGAATACATGTGCATCTCTACAAGTTCAGCTTTCTGCACATGTTGTGTTAGTGTTAGGGCTGTATACTTGTATATTGGGATATATTCATAGGAGATTGCCTTGTAATAAGGTGAGAATTAAAACATTTCCTATGATTATCAGAAGAATTAAAGAAGTGAACACACTAGGAAGTAACCAGAATTTTATTCTTTTGAAAGCATTGGCTTGATAATTATTTGAATAGGATATTTCTGCTATTAGTCATCTACTTTAATTGGTTGCTTAGTTGCTTTTCGCCAGTTATGGACTGTATGGGGACAGGCTGGGTTCACATTTTTGCTTTCCAGTTTTACACAGTAGTCTAGGACTGCAAGATAGGAAGATGAAATATTTGGGAAAAAAATAAACCTCTCATTTTTATCAGATTTCAGACTTTGGATTGGCCAAGTGCAATGGGCTTTCTCATTCTCATGATCTCAGTATGGATGGACTTTGTGGCACTATTGCATATCTGCCACCAGAACGAATTAAAGAGAAGAATAGATACTTTGATACAAAGCATGATATATATAGGTAAGTGTCTATTCTGCTTTTCTTCTTTTCTTTCCTTGTATCTATTTCTCATTGGTAGTTGCTAGCCCCAGCCCAGCTGCCTTAAATATAACTCTGCTGGATAGACTGGAGGATAATTGAATCTGTGGCAAGCCCTGTGCTATGAAGCCTTCACCAGCTTTGAAGACAAGTGCTACCGAAAACTGGTAAAAATCTGTGACTGGAATCACAGAATAAGACCCACAGTTACTGCAGCAGTGAATTTCCAGTATCTCCATTGTAATAGACTCTGCACTTGCAGACTGGGATTGTCTGTTTCCACAAGTGAACTGCACATCAGCATGTCTTCTTTGAACTTGAAAGACTACCATATAGACTATTGCAAGAGAATTTTTATGTTCTTGAAATTTTGACAAGTTTTGCCATTTCGGATCTGATAATCAGATGTAATTAGCATTGTGAGACGTAGCTGTAAACACAACATACTATATGCATTAATGGTTTTATAAAGGTATTAATTATGTCTTTTGCAGCTTTTCCATTGTTATCTGGGGAGTTCTGACACAGAAGAAGCCTTTTTCAGGTAAGCAAGCAATATCTCTTCTTGTGAATCATACTGTAAATGACTGTGTCAAACAGAATTCCTCCCTGGACAAAATGCGTTTATTGTGATATGGTTACCCTTCAAAATATCCAGCCATAATAACTGATTGCATTCATCCATCCCAACTACTAAAATATTGTCTATATCATATGAGGATGGCTTTCCTACTAGCATTTCTCTCTTAAAAGCTATCTGGGGAGCTATCAGATGTGAGAAATTCCAGAAAAGAACATTGCATTTACCATTCATGTTAGTCATGGAGGTATATGAGATGAAGTCTCTAAAGAAAGAGTAGTTGAATTATATGGAGTTGCTTATAATGTGGGATAGCATGTAAAAAAGTCAAATGAGTGACTTCTGTCACCAGTATTAGCTCTAGACGTTACTACTTTGAGGATTATGATTTACAGCTATTGAAAGGAAATGCATTGGGTGTATTTTCCATGCTCCGCCTCCAACACTGATGCCTTTAATATAGCGATGTATACCGTTCATCTTTTTGTTTCATTCTGTTCAACAGTCCATTTATAGATAGTGTTACATGTATAGCATGTTACTAGATATTGAAGGATTAGATGTTAAGAAAAAGAATCTTATTGGTGGAAAAATGTCTGTCTGGCACTAGAAAGGGAATCTAAGAAGGAAGCATCTACCTGATATGTATTTTCTGCTTTCCATCTGTAGAAGAAAATAACATTCTGCACATTATGGTAAAAGTGGTTAATGGTCATCGCCCAGAACTGCCACCTGTTTCCAAATCCAGACCTCGTGCCTATAATAACTTGATCAAACTGATGCAAAAGTGCTGGCAAGATGACCCTAGCAAGAGGCCAACGTTTAAAGGTGAACTTTGCTTCTAATCAAATTCCTTGGTAAAATAATGAGTCATTTCAGGGTAAAAGCCTGCATTAATCCCCAGTGGAGCCCCACCAAAATCTGGTTAAAAATGATGAATACAAAATATACACAATGCATTATTGTGCTGGCAATAGTCAGGGAACATCCTATTACAGGAAAAGGATTACAGGAGAACTTGTCTAAACATGAACAGTTGATTTAGGCATCAGATGTGTACCAATCTAGTTAACTCCCCAAATTGCTGCTTAGGGTGGAACTTTCTAATCTGAATTAGCTTTGCTACAATATATTCAACACAAAGCAAACATATCAGAAGCCTCATTTTTTATTCTGGCTTCAGTGGTGCAAATTCGTTCTGGATGTTTAAAAAGCATTCAGATTCCATTGCATAGGCAACCAAACCTCAGGTGAGATTCTCACCCCCCATTTGAGTCTACCTTTTTTCCAATTAAAAGGAGAGGTAGGGAACTGCTGAATTGCCTCCTCCATAACATGCAGCATCTGCTGCTCAGGGCAACAGTCTCATCCTGTTGTTAGTCTTGGGACGACAGAAAGCTACCATTGCAGTTATCTTGCAAATATCATTTTTTTTGGGGGGGGGGAGTGGGAATAAGAGCCAGAGAAGCATTGACAGCTCTTTTAAAAAATGTTTAAAGTTGAAATCAACTTTGACCCTTCTGCAGTTACCAATCTTCACTGTTCCCCAGTTTGTGGAACAGATTAAAATATGGCTGTACATATATTTTTAAAATGTGGAACTGGCATTCAGCATTTTGCTTCAGTTGACTCAATCAGGATCACCTTGTATTTTATTGATAGTGCAGAAGTTCTTCATGGTTGTGTGTTAAGAGGAATTTTTTTAAAAAATGGTGGAAAGATGTGTATTGAGCTGGTGAAAATGGCTACTTTTTTGTGTTGTGTTTAGTTTATTGGAGGAGTTAGCCAAGCTACTAGGCAAGGCAAAACAACTAAGCATTATCTGAATTATCTGTAAAATATCCCTTTAGTGAAAAGGAAGGTCTATAGCAAGTGTGAAGAAAATAAATTGTATCTTTTTTTTTTTTTTTTTTAGAAATTACTTCTGAAACAGAAGAGCTCTGTGAAAAACCAGAATATGAGAATAAGGACATGTCAGTTGAGGAGGATGCAAAGGTTTCACAGACCTATCCTAAGGTATTTATTACAGCAATATATGGAAAATTGGGTGAATTTTAATATGTTCTCTGATCTTTCACTCAGCTCATATTTTAATTTGAAATGTTTCTTTTCCTCATCCCCTATTTTCCAGGAGATGTCCAGTATTTCCCAGCTGAAACAAGAACCTGATCCTGCGTCAGTTAAGGATTACAGCCTCTCTGAATTATTGTCCCAGCTGGACTCAGGAATTTCACACACAGAACAGCCCGAGGAACTCAGTCGCAGTGCCTCTGAATCTAGGCTTGCCACCAGTGACAAGAGACTGTCCGGAGTGTCCTCTGTAGACTCCGCCTTTTCTTCACGAGGTTCCCTGTCACTGTCGTTTGAGAGGGAGAATTCTGGAAGTGGTAAGTTTTGCTGGGCAAGGTGTAGTCAAATGTATATGTTTGGGGTAGGGGCAAAATAATTCAGAAAGAGATGGTAACTGATGTGATCGAAGCAGCGCAAAGCACCCTCTGGTCTTTTCTTTTTTGCATGAGAGTTAGCTGTACAAATTGCATGACATGTTGCGTATGAATTCCTAAATGCATTTCCAGGCATGTTATGGACTATGATTCTGGCAATTAATTAGCTAAATAGGCTGTCTGGATGTCATTCCATTTGCAATTGCTGAAGGATTATAGGGAAACTGTTTTTATGCAGGGAGAAGCTATACTGATTTAAGTCAAACATCTCTGAATTAGCTTTCCATACTTTTAAGAAAATAGAGGTATTTACTAAAATTTGCTACCTGAATTACTTAATTTATATATATGAGATATTTGAACTTGTATATATGGGAATACCAAATTGTGGTTCCTACTTTAGTTTTTGACAGCAATGTTCAAGATCAATGTAATATATGGAATTTACAGCTAAGGCTATAAAAGGACAGTTGAAGCACTAAACACTGAAGAACACATAGCTCTGATTAAATGTCTACCTATATTGAATATTGAGAGCCATTTTGGTGTAGTGGCTAAGGCATCAGGCTAGAGATGGTGAATTCTAGTTCCACTTTAGGCACAAAGCCAGCTGGTGACTTTAGGTTAGTCACTTTCTCTAAGCCCTAGGAAGAAAGCAAGGGCAAACCTCTTCTGAAAAACCTTGTCAAGAAAACTGTTGTGACTTGTCCCAGTAGTTCCTGAGAATTGAATACAACTTGAATGAAAAATATTGAATATTAGAATATTACTTATACTTAAATATTTAAGATGTGTCAAAAAGCTAAACTAACTTTAGTTCTGTGGGTGAGCATGTGCCTTCTTCCACATGCAAACTAATTTGAGTATATGTAAGTCAACAAGCCAAAAGATCAATGAATGAATAATAAATGCTAATAGTCAGATACCAAAGTATGAATAGTGAGATAAAAGCATGGAAAATTTTCCCAGAGGTCAAAAAAGTGTGTGGAAGAGTTCAGAATTTCCCAAGTATCAGCAGGGAAACTGTCCTATTTTATCTAATGGAACTCCTGGCCCTTTTGTGTTTCTGTGAAAACCAGACTGAAACACAACAATTTGTTTTTGCTTCTCCAGACATTGGTACCACAGATATCCAGAAAAGAAAACTGACTGAGGCAATCACATCTGGAGACACTGGTAAACTGATGAAAATTCTTCAGCCTCAAGATGTAGACCTCATTTTGGATGGGAACGGTGGCCTTCTCCATTTGGCTATTGAATCAGGCCAAGAAGAATGTGTTAAGTGGCTACTACTGAACAATGCCAATCCCAATCTGACCAATAGGAAAAACTCTACACCCCTCCATATTGCGGTAGAGAAGAAGAACAAAAGCATTGTTGAGCTGCTTCTTACAAGGAAAATTAATGTGAATGCCAAAGATGAGGACCAGTGGACAGCTCTTCATTTTGCCAGCCAAAACGGGGATGAACTGATCACAAGAATGTTGCTTGAAAAGAATGCCTTGCTGAATGAAGTGGATTTTGAAGGAAGAGCACCAATCCACGTTGCTTGCCAGCATGGTCAAGAGACTATAGTGCGCATCTTTCTGAGGAAAGGGGTTTATGTTGATGTCAGAGGAAAAGATCATTGGGTGCCTTTACATTACGCTGCATGGCAAGGCCACTTACCCATTGTGAAGCTTCTGGCCAAGCAGCCTGGAGTCCATGTGAATGCACAGACTGTAGATGGAAGGACCCCTCTTCATTTGGCAGCCCAGAGAGGACATTACAGAGTTGCTCGAATACTAGTAGAACTCCAGTCAGATATCAATATAAGAAATGTGTTTTTTCACACTGCCCTTCATATAGCTGCTGAAACTGGCCACACTAGCACTTCCAGGCTGCTTCTTAACCGTGGAGCAGATATAGAAGCAACAACAGCAGAAGGCTATACTGCCCTTCACCTAGCAGCCCGTAATGGCCATTTATCCACAACCAAGCTGTTGATCGAAGAAGGTGCCAATATCCTGGCAAGGGGTCCTTTAAACAGGACAGCACTGCATCTTGCTGCTGAAAATGGACATGATGAGGTGGTAGAGGTCCTTGTCAACCTAGAAAATATAAATGATTCAGATGAGGAAGGGTTGGTGGCTCTGCATCTTGCTGCAAAAGGTGGACACACACAAACAGCTGAAGTTCTGTTAAACCATGGTGCCTGTATCAATATGCAGAACTTTGCATTTCAGACCCCACTGCAGTTGGCTAAACAAAATGGGAGCAACACTATTATCACGCTGCTCAGCCAGAGATAGGTGTTTGCTTTCTAATACATATGGGACAGGCTAATGATGACCATAGCATGAGTATCTGCTTAAACTTCACATATAGGTCTAACTTCCATCTTTGCAGAAGCTACTTCTTGATGTGGCAATTCAGTCTAATAAACTGAGCAGACAAGGGAGTAAGAGTCATAAGTTCTGGGTTCGATTTCATACTTCCGTGTAAAGGAGCGCTGAGTAACCCCTTAGTGAAGACATGATGTTCTTTCCCCATACTTCAACATCATGGGTGTTGGCTCACTGGAATGATGATATGAAGAGATTTAAAAAAAGAGAGAGGGTTATCCCTTATTCTTTTCAGTGTAAAGTCAGTTTCTAATATTTCAATCATTCTTTACATTCAATGGGTGAGGTATCTTTAAATGTCACTCTGGAATGTTTTTTTTTTTAAATTGATTTTTCCTTGACTATTTACAATCCATACAAGTGTCTGCATTCCTGAAAAAGTACTGCAGGGATAATTGTCCTAAAGCCACATAGAAATTAAAATCCCAGTTTTATTATTCAAAAAAAGTAAGAAGTGCCTATTTCAAAACTACACATTTCTAGTTCTCTGATGGTCAGTTTTTCCATGATCATTACTGTTAGCTAATGCTTACGATAACAACTATGAGCATCCCTGTGTTAATTAGAAAATCATTTCTAATATGCAGTACCAGCTTCTGTATATATACAATGTATATGCATAATATTTCAACCTTCAACATGTGATTAAATGGAAGAAAGCACAAGTACAATAACATTTGTACAAGTGTGCATAAGCACATGAAAATTTTATTTCATTAAATGTAAGAATAGGTTGTATCTATATGTTTCTTTTTAAGTGTTGTAAATTACAGAACCACAGGTATAGCAATGTCTCCAAAACAGATTTATCATGTATAATAGACTAATATAAAAATATACTGTGTATATAATTCAGGACATTGCATGCTCTTTTTTCTACAGAAGAAAATGGAGGTTTTTTAGGTCTGGGTATGTTTTAATACACCTTTTGTAATGTTCATTATTTTCAGAAGTTCACATGTGATCTGTTTTACCAATAAAATAAGTTGAAAAATGGCTTTTGAGAAAATAGTTGTGCTTTATATTTAAAGAACAATTGTGTTTTATGAATTTATATTTGTTTGCTTACATCATAGACACATCCCTGCCAGAAATATTTTGCCAGGGAATATTTCCATCTTACAGAATGAGACATGACTGCCCATTGCATTCTATAATGACCATTTTCCAAAATTGGTGCCTCCAGATACGTTTGATTACGGTTCTCATTATGCCCTAACCAGTATAGACAATGGTTCAATTGGGATGATTTATTTTATTTAAAACATTTTTATAGCCACTCATCTTTAAACCAAACTGGGCATTTATACCAAGACTAGAACAATATGTACATAATAAAAGCTTATTCTGTAATTTCTCATCACATACGTAATTTCCAAGACAAATGAAATTTCTGGGCACTCTGTCTCATTCATCTGGTTGATGGTGTCATCAATTGCTTAAACAAGTTATGCAAGACGTTCTGCTTCAACTGGTGCTGAGTTGTTACGATACATTGCTAATGTCAATAAAGTCATGATTATGGGAGAGGACGATATCAGGTGGAACAAACTGGACCCCCAAATTGATCAATATAATCTTTTAGTTACAAGATCAATGGAACAGAGTGTAAATAATAGATTAAGGATAGTACTAAACCAGGGGTAGGCAACCTTGGCTCTTTTATGACTCGTGGACTTCAACTCCCAGAATTCCTGAGCCAGCATAGCTCAGCTTGGAAACCTCTTCCTCAGCGTGGCTGGCTCAGGAATTCTGGGAATTGAACTAAACTGAGAGAGAATGCACATAATTTAGATATATGTTCATAAAGCAGCAAAATATATATCCCATAATTTTGTTGGTTGCTCATAAGTAGCTCAAAGAATCAGTTGCAATTCCTAAATATAATGTTTAGGAAAGACAGTGAAAAAAAATTTGCCCTTAAAAATATAAACCAGGTAACATAAAAAGTGTGAAATATCCTTAGTGGGATGATAGAAAAGTTCCTTTATACAGTTCGATGGAAGTGCTTATCATTTAGTGGTTTCTTCAAATGTCGAAAAAGGAACTTGGGTTAACTTGAATGAGCTGTTGCAAAAGCAATAGGCCATGTTAAAGAAAGCATCTTTCCCATTCATTCTTCCCTGGGTGAGAGCCTTGAAGAACACATAAAGAACTCTAATAATTGTTTCCCTTTCTCACTTGTCAAGACTGGCTGCTATCTTGCTTTTTGAATGGGTGGCCTTTGCATATTATAGTCTTCCCCAACATCTCCAACAGGGTATCTTGGTTTTTAAAACAACCTTGCATGAGTCTGGTTTTTCTAGTAAACCTGTCTTGCAGAGTCCAGATTGTGCAACAGAAGGGTTATGAATGAAAAAATGTGAGATCTGCCTACAGGGTTGTTAATGATAAATCAACATTCTTTTTCATTGCCACAGAAAATCCAGAGCATGTTCAAACGGTAAGCTTATTCAGGCAATTTGAGACCTGTAGGAACAAAGATAATAGCTCTCCATTAGCATAGCTTTTTAATAAAACTGTCAGTGGAAGAGTGTGTTGCAAAGGCTGACAGTGTATCAAGGAACTGTTTGTAAATTAAAGAGGAATACTTTAAAGCCAGAGATGCAGTGTCATGGGAGTGTCCCTATTTCTAGACCAGTGTTTCTCGACCTCAGCAACTTTTAACATGTGTTGATTTCAACTTCCAGAATTCCTCAGCTAGCATGATTCTGTTAGTTAAGATCCACACGTCTTAAAATTGCCGAGGTTGAGAAGCATTGCTGCAGAGACATGGGCACCTGTTTTATTTCATATTTGTCAATGTAGTTATCCCTTCAAGCTTTAAATATTGAGTCTTCATTGGCCCGCCTAAGTTCATTTTATGATTAAGAGAGGGGGAAAGTAAGACTGAACTCACAGACCATCATTTTTCCTTACCAGCAAACCTCTTAGGAGAAACACAACAGGGCAGAAATGTGAAAGGCTACACGAGAACCGTTTTTCCCTTAAAGAAGACCTGCCTATATATTGATGAATTATTTATTCAAAGACTAAAATTGTCTCCAGTTAACCCATCTATTTCATGGATTCCCTAAACCACCTCCTCAGCCCACGTTTTGCCTTTCCCTTTCCCCTCCCTGTCTCATTTCTCTTTCCAGTAAAGAATCTGACTAATATTTCCTTCTGAGATTTTTTTAAAAGGCATAAGCTTTCTGGGATCTGCAGCTCACTTTACCAGATAGGCAGACTGGCTTGACTAATACAGGATTGAAATTCAGGTGGAGGATGGGGGTTCATCAGGCTGCTGAATGTGCTTGCATCAAAGATTTCAGGCTCACTCTCCACCAGTCGTGCTGTTAATTTTTTCCCAAAATTGTCAGTTTGAGATCTGCCATAAATCATTAGGGAGATTGAGATGTTCTGATATTACTTTGTCCTTCTTTCGAGTCATTATCATATTTGTATTCATTCTTAATGAATTTGATGAAGTGAACAGTAGTTCACAAAAGCTTGAGTGTTTTAATACAATGTGTTGGAAATGAAGCTAGAAGAAATCTTTTATTATTTATTTATTTATTATAAGAATTGCTATTATTGACCCAGCTCTTCTTCAGTAAGACAAAAAAACTATAAAGCTGGATGTTCCATCATTTTTCTCTTCCATAAATTTGTGGCTCCATAATTGCAACAATGCTCAATCTTCTCTTACTCCTTTCCTGAACACCTCAGTTTTGAGTTCAAGGGTGTATTTTCATAGAGAAATCCAGAATTTCAAAAAATGAAATTGAATATTACTTCTTTGCATCACCTCTTTCAAATTTTGAGTCATTCATCTCCAGTTCTTTTACCCTGTATCTGTGTTCAGAGGGGAAGGCTTTAAAAAACAAGGTATCTAAAATGATGGAAGACCTATTACACAAATGCAAAGAATTCTTTTCTTAATGCACAGTAGAAAATGACTTGGCTTCTTTTCTATAAATATACTTTAATTCCCTTGTCTCACTGAAATTCCATGATACCCACACTTACGTTTTCATACAAAATGACAAGTATATATAAACTTTAAACAATCAAATCTTATGACGAAAGCCAATACAAAGAACTGGAATAATACCACATTATTAATCTTCATGCAGCTAGTTTGTTATTAACAAAAAGTTTGGAACTGGCATAATTCAAGCTTCAGTTTCTTGGACACTAACTTTTTCTAGTGTTTCAATTCGCTATTTTAACAGTCTGTTTTCTACTCTCAGTCTCTGAAAATCAAGCAAAACTGTAAAGAACATTATCAAATAATTTCTACCTTCTGAAACAAGATAATAGCTTTCTAGGTCAGGGCTTTTCAACCAGTGATATGGGTACCACCTGTGGTACATTGGCACCTGGCAGGTGGTATGTGACCATCCTAGAAAAGTGGTAGCGGGGGAGGGGGAAAGAGCTGAACCAGTGGCAGCACCGCACAAGCCTGAGCGAGAGATGGCTGGAGCTGCAGGGCTGTCAGGGCTCAGTGGAAGCGCCAGGATCAGCGCCAGGCTCCAGCTGGAGCTTGGCGCTGATCCTGGCACTTCTGCTGAGCCCAGAAGAAGCGCTGATCAGCTGGAATGTTGCAGCATCTCCAGGGTCTTGTGATTTACATTCAGATGCTTGGCAACTGATTCATATTTATGATGGTCATAGTGTCCCAGGGTCATGTGAGGTGACCAAAACCTTTTGCAATCACCCAGCAGATGGGAGGAATAAAAACCAAACACCTCCCATCCCACCCCTGCTGCCAATCCTCAACAGAAATGCTCACAACAATGAAAACTTCGGACAGGAGAAAAAGTGCTGCCAGGTGGGCAGGCAGGTGTCTTGCTCAACTGTGCCTTGGGGGGCATTTTTTCAGTGCCATTGTAACTTTGAACAGTCACTAAGCGAACTGTTGTAAGTCGAGGACTACCTGTACTTTATCACTTTTTCCCTTTTTTTGGTCATCAAGTTGTTGACACCTTGCTAGGCGACTGGTGGTACTCGGATATTGCCATAGCCTAAAAGTGGTACAATGGATGAAAAGGTTGAAAAGCCCTGTTCTAGGTGATATCTGAACTAACCATCTTGGAACTATATTGCCTTCTTAGCTAGACAGCAACATTATGGGGGGAGTGGGTGTCCTTGTATTTTGAGGATTTGAAAGTGAAGTAGATAATTACTTCTTGGATAGTTCAGGAAAGTTGCAGACAGTCCACAATTGTTCTGCTTTGTTTTAATTAATCTGCTTAAGCTGATTTAATAAATTCTCTTACTGAGGTTATATTATTAATGGATTTTTCGTTTTAAAATAAAAAATACTGATATTAAGTAAGAAGGCTTAGCCAGATTAATTCCATGGCTTTCTTTTAAAAAATGTGGATTTCTAGTTTTTATATTTATATACACAGAAAGAGTAAGAAGCGCCCACACTATGTTTAGCAGGCTGAAGATGTAGTGGGGAGAAGGCCTGTTGCAGTTCCGCAAGCCACAAAAAGAGCAAGAAAAAAAAAGCTAACCACATGAAGGAAATATTACCTGAACACAGCCTAATACATTTGTTATATTAATTTGAAGGGCGAGGGGAGGGGTTTACAATGCTAAGAAAAGATGGCGGAATTAACGTGGTATGAGTGAGAAAAGCTTGACTGTTGACACTGTTTGCTTGTCTGATATTCTTGTTTTAGGCCAAGAAATTGGGAAGCTTCACTAGTTGTGGCAGGTGCCACTAGCATGGACCACCACATATATGTATAAATTTAGTGTACTTTATAGCTTCTCAATATTCAAAAATGCTGCTAGAAAAGAAATCCATTTTTTTTTTTTTTTTTTTTGCTGGAAAGGCAAAAAGGCTCAAAGCACTTCGGAATGTATTCTGTTTTTTTCCTTCCTCCGCAAAAACATGCAAAGCACTTCAAGTAACTTACTGGGAGCAGCAAAAGACAAACTTCAATACCCCTCTTCAAAGTCAAGATCAAGGAACAGAAAGGAAAAAATTATTGGAAATCAA